CCCACGGCCCGCAGTTTTACTCTGCCCCCAGAGGTCGGTTCTTGTCCAAAATCTCCATGTCACATGTCATCACCCCGGCCAGCACTAGTTTATCATTAACCTGCACATACCCGTCCTCCTCCCCTCCCCTCCCCCCCCACACACACACACACACCTCCCCGGTCTCCTCTATATATACATGACAGTGTGCTGTTCTAACAGATGTTTGTAGCAGATGGTTCACCAACGACTAACGTGGATAAAATTCCAGAGTGAATCACACTAGAACTAGTCCATGGTTTAATATAACACACAGACAAGGTGGGGGGGGGGCTGGGAGGGGGGCGGGGGGATCACGATACTGTTACATTTATCTTTGAAAGAGAAGAACACAGTTTTGTTCCATTGTTTTTGTATTTTGCTTGCATCTCCCCTTGCCTGGCCTGCAGGTGGCACTAAGTGCACATTTGGAAGTTCTGTTGCACGAGTCATATACACTGGTGCATTGTTTTACATGAATTTAATCCCTGGATTTAAGAATGGCCACAGAGGCAACAACCCCTTTAAGGTAAAATTAGAGCACAAATTTGAAAACAGTTAGCCTTAAACTTACTAAAATTATTAAATGTTAGCCTACAGAATAGCTACTAAATTAGCTAAATGTTAGTTGCTATGGCAGTGAAACATTCAAACGTTTGAAATCTTGTCACTCCCAGGAGCACCAGTGCGACCACAGTCATAGACACACAATCATCTAAGCTAGCTTAAACTAGTGATAGCTCGAACCACACACACAGCAGCAGATATACAGTACCCTGTGTACGAGGGTTTCAGTTCCATGGATCGGTTTTTCCACAGGAAACTGTAAAGAATGAAACGGACGTGGCGTCTTTTTTTTTTTTTTAAACAACGCTACTCTTCCTCCACACGACCAACAGGCTGTGCCACCGCACCAATCTTGGCTCACTCTAAGCTCCTCATCAAGTTAGCAAAAGAGTTTGACTGGATTTGCTCCTGCCATTCAGCGTCCAATCACAGCTCAGAAGAGCAAAGAAAATCAAACATCTGAATCATTCAGCACAGGTCAGTGGAAAAAGGTCAAGCCGTCCTATTTCCAGGAGCTCTGTTGCTACGGCGACACCATCATCTTTAATTCATGCTCCACGTCCAGGCTGGAGTTGTCGCCCCGGGGACTGGAAGCGGAGCAACTGTGACCTGGAATTCTGGGAGCAACTCTCTGGAGGTGAATGTTCATGGTCAGCCCATGGTGGACATCAGGTGAGCTCTTCCATCAGTCAACCAAAAACTCTTCCTGTTCTGCTGCTAACTCTTCACAGAACTTTGAAGAAGAACATCAACAACAACAACAACAACAACAACAAAGATACTGATGAAGCAGCAGAGCAAAGTTTCATGAAAGCTGTTTCAGCGTCGGGCCTCTGAGGAACAGTACTCCAGAAACGACACTAGGGGGATTTTTTCAAATACAGCCCAGTGCCGACAGAAGACATATGAAGCCAAAACGTTGATATAGACGTGCCTGGTTCCACAGGCCGCAGAACCACAGCAACATTTGACCTTTGGTTTCTATTGGATTATTGATTAGCGTTAGCTTTAACACTCCTCGGCCGATCGTCTTCACTCCTTCATTGAGCTGTAACCATTTTAAACAGTCCCCAGGGGGAACAACACAGTGATGGGGGGTTAGAAAAACAAAACAAATTAATTTCTATCACGTGATTTCTCTCTCCTCCACCAGGTTGTCATTTTGCTGAGAAACACTGTAACATGTCAGTTAGTTAGTTGGCGTCAGTTGGAGCGGTGGTTTAATCACAGCAGCCGTGCTGTGGATTAAGTCTGGAGTTGAACTCCAGGCCCTGAGAATCCTCATGACAGCAGTTCTGTGCTCATTATACCCAGCAACCCAGTCTGGACTGCAAGCAGGCAACATACAGCACATGTATGATTTTTGGCGACCCCTGGAGAAAGCAACCAGAACTACAGATTGTGACAACTCTAGGTTGCGTGTGGTGAACCACTCCTCCGCTCTTGGAACCCAAACCTGTTCCTGGTAAAGCTTCTGTTTTTAGATTCAAATGAAGTTCTCAAAACAAGCCATTCTTGTCACCTGACATTAACAAAATAACCCCAGCCCTCACTGCGTGGCTACACCCACACTGTACACCCATACCCATACCTGTCGTCTGCATTTTGAGTTTTCCAGTAACCTGTTTTCAACATTAGAATTTTAAAGAATAACCGTAGAACTGTGTCAGACTCCGACTGTGCTGCAGAGCTTCTTTCCTGACCCAGAAATTCTTTTAGGTTCACCTTGACCCAAAGCAGGGCAGTGAACTCACACATTGCCATGTTTGACACCATTCTGACTTCCTGTCTCAGAGTAGTCACATTCGACATTTGCCTGGAAACACAGAGCACATCGAGCCACTTTGTCCTCATCACCGCAATAACCACTTCAAGCCAACACACTCCTCTGAGCATCTGTGGAGCCACAAAGAAACACGGCACGTTGTTATCATAGCTGCCAGGGCAGCGTTCCAAAAGTGGGAAAACAAAGCTGTGCTTTGAGTCTGCACTGAAAATTTGTGCATTTGAAACGTCACAAACTTCCTGTGAGAAAACCCTGACACAACAGTGGCAGCTTGTTAGTCTGAAAACCACTGCCACAGCTGCACCTCGCTCCAATACGTCTGTTCATCACACATGTGACAGCACAGCAGACCGATTTAGGCCCATGTAGACTGACATAGACTGGCTTGTTATAGATTATCATGGAGTCACAGTGATTGGTTCAAACACAATACTTGACCTCCTTGGTTCCTGTCGTCTATTGGGAGCAGCAACTCTGGGAGAACCGTTGTCCTGGCAACTAGGGCAGGGAGTCATGGGACAACATATATGCTTTGATGAGAGGCGGCACTGTCCATCCCATCATAACCCTGTCTCTGCTGGGCTCACTGACCTCAGGTGACTTAGAGCAGCTATCAGACTTGATATCACCACTCACTCCAGATATCTGGAGCTGTTATAACGTGCAGCCACGTTTGACCAAAACTGTCAATTAGAGATGGAACCATCAATCTCTTTAACCGTCCTCACAGAGGGAGACAGGTGTCTTCCTGGGCTCTAGACATGTGCTGGATCTGATTTTGTTTTCTTGTTTCAACCAGCATCTGAGGCAGGGATGGGAAAACAGATTCAAGGTCAGGATAAGACAAGATGACCAAGAGAGGTCGGAGGAAATAGTTCAGCAG